GGCAGCCAAGAAAGAGTTGAGTCCACACTTCCTCCCCACTGCTGTGTTGAGCTTCCCCCCGACCCCCTTGTGAACTGGTGCCAAATGGCTTTTGCTAAAACTGAGGTGCTTTCGCTTGGGAAGAAAGGGCAAGAGAGAGGTCCAAGTAGGATTACAGCCACAAATCTCCATCAGACTCATGGGAATCATATCCACTCATGTAAGAAGATTGAGAAGATAGGACAAAGGGAGTGAAAATGACCAGAAGCTAAAAGCTATGGAATGACGGCTGTTGTTTCCATTTAGAGAGACTTGCCAAGTGCCAGAGCACTTGCTCACATTATCCCAGCTACCCTGCAATGTCACATTATTGCCTTTCACAGATGAAAAAAAAAAGGAGTTTAGAGAGGGTAAATTCTTTGTCTAAGGTGGCGAGAAGTCCCAGAACCCATGGGATGGATGACAAGGCCAGAAGTTGCTCTTTGAGGCAACCCTGAGTATCCTCTCCAAACAGGAAATTGAAAAGTAGGCATGTTTTTGAGTCCCCAGCGGCTGAGCCTGAGACAGGGATCCTCGTGGAAGTAATTGACTGGGGGCAGCTCTCATGGGAAACCTGCAAGGGAGGAGGAAAGCAGGATGGGCCGGGGAAGGAGCTAAGCAAAGATGTGGGTTCAGCTGAAGCCCAGCCTCAGGCTGATCCCACACAGAGCCCTGGACATAAATGACACCAGCAATCTTCCAGCCTTGCAGGCAAGGGGGCCAAGCCTTCATCATACCCGCCCCACCCTCCCACCCCCAGTCATTGACTGCCAGCTGTAGGATTGCCAGATTTAGCAAATACAGTTGCCCAGTTTGAGTTTCAGATAAACAGTGAATAGGATATCCTTATGCTAAGAAAGTGTTCATTGTCTGAAATTAAATTTAGCTGGGCATCCTGTGTTTTGTCTGGCAACCCCAGGAGGTGAGAGGAAGAGGATGGGGCACCACCTCTCAGGCATCTCCTGCTGTCGGAGGGTGGTTCTCTGGGAGAAGGGCAGGTGTGTTTCCTCAGCAGCCAGTCTTCACAGCAGGTGTGTGGGGGCGGGCAGCAGTCAGTAACAGGGATCTGGGAAGGGGACATTAGCAGCACGTGCTGCAGGCAAGGACTCTGGGGGGCAGCTCACCAGTCAATGGTAAAAAAGACCAGAAGCTCCTGCCCAAAATGATCCAGGGGAGTAGCACATTGGCCTGGTCCCTGCTTCAGCCCCTGCCCGGCCTCATCCCTGGCTGCCTTCTGAGGATGTTTTTGCTTCTTCCCAGTCTCTGCTTGTGTTGGGGGCTGGAGTGGGAGCCAGGCTATTTAACTTTGTTTCATCCAGCATTTATGAAATGTATTTAAATGATGGAGGAAGCTTTCCTTACAAGTGACCTTAGAAACTTCTCCCCTAAAAAAAGGCTCTAAGACCCTAGGAAGGGAGAATTTGAGGAGGGGATAACAACCCTGTAATTAAGCAGCCTGTTTCTGGAGGGGCCCAAGAACCTTTCTCAAAATTCAGAGATCCTTTCTGAGGGATTCAGCAGGTTCCTACAAAGAAGTCCACCCTCACTGTACCCCCGCCCCTCCTCTGGAGGCCTCTGCATCTCTGTTATAGGAACCTGGGGGATCTGTGGGTTCTGACCTATAAGAGGCCCAAGACATAGACGTAAGTGAAAAGAGCAAGCAAGGGGTGAGGGGTGGGCAACAGTAATGCCCAGCATGACCCCATTTATGTAAAACACACACAAACATACACATGCACACAGCAATAAGCCAGCTGTAGGGGCCTCTCTGTTGATGCATATGTATGTATAAGCATAATTTTTAAACATCATCTTGTTTGATTTGTTTTAAAGTGACAGGGCACTATTTGTATAATTTAATAATTGTCAAGTAAAAAATTGTCACACAAAAATCAAGACTTGCTCCTAATAGTCACAAGAGGGAGCCATGGACTACACCCATCTGTATGCCTCTCTTCCCACTTGGAAGAACAGACTCTTCCTCAAGGTGCCCCCTCCTGCCCCCCAACTCTCCCCCCAACCCCCAACTCCAAGGCAGGAGAGAGGAAACAGGGAGTGGAGGCCTGCCATCCCTTATCTGCAATTCTGAAATCCAAGAAAAACATGGAAACCAAATCTTTCTTCATGTGGCACCCAACGCTTAATCTGAACAGAGATGAAGATTTTTATAGATTTTGTCCCATTTACTGTGGCTATTCATACATCGCACAGCAGAAATGTCAATGCATTTGATCATATAAGGCAGCCCCAGCCCCACTGGGGATGTTACATAATCTGTGGTGCACACCCCCTAATACCTTTCTAAAATGGGAAACTTTCTGAATTCGGAATCACATCTGGCTCTTGGAGGCTTGGTTAGGGATTGTAGACCTATACTCATGTTAATAGTTGCCCCTTTCTTGCCCCTAAGAATCCTTCCTTCTCTTTCCATCCCCTGCTGGAGCTTGGACACCCCCTAGGTGTGCCCTAAAGTTCCTAGTCATTGCCTGGAGGGTAGAGAGACCAAAGATCCAGCAAGCCATGAAGGAAAAGTTCCTCTAGGAGCCAAGGGAGAAGGGCCTTCCTGTTGCTAAAAGGAGCCATCTGATATCCTGTCCCTGACTAGGCTAGTGATGGTCATGCAAGACTTTCATCCCATCACAGGAAACCACAGGCCCACTTGCTGGTGACCTCCAGTCCAGAGCCCCAGGGTAGCTGGCCCCGACTTCAGCAGGTAATGTGAGCACATCTCCACTGCCCCATCTGTGACCACTCCCACCCCCTCTCTACTTTTTTGCCTCCTTTCAGGGATGGAGGGGTTGTATGAACATCATCCAACTTTGGCGGGGGGAGAGAGAAGCGGCTGGTGAGAAAGCCCAGTCTGCACGGTTCGAGGAGTGGTGTTGAAGACATACAAAATGAAGGATCAGAAGAGCCAGGCTCCCACCTGTCAGGGAGGGTGTGTCTCTGTGTGCCTGTGGGCATGGGTAAAAGAGACAGACAGATGGATAGGAGACAGATAAACTGATGAAACAGATGGGGTGAAGGTGGAGTGGAGGAGAGACAGAGACAGACTAAGAGTTAAAAACAAAAACAAAATCCCAAACCTGGCCAAAGAGTATTTCAGCAAACATTTTTGGAACAGATCCAGTGAACTGCCACTTTTAATAAAAGACTTCTTGATCTAAGACAGGAAGTCCCCAAAGCAGAAGGCTGGTACATGCGGATGTTAAAATTTGCATCCATCATTTTAGAACAATGTTTATTTCACGAACCAATTAATGATTGTCCTGAGATCGATATATCCAGGGCTTGGGAAGTAAATGAGGGAGCTAAAATCAGCATTTCGCGTGACAGCAGAGGAGGCGGGGTCTGCATCCCGCCGCTGCAGACCCCGCCCACTGTCCTCCTGGTGGGACGGGCAGCCCACACCAATGCCTGGATGGGCCGGTGTGGGCGCAATACAGCAGCGACCGTGGATACGATCCTTAGCTGCCGTTCACCCAGGGCGTAACAATTCCTGCACCTAGTACGCTTTCCAATTTGCAGGACTTACCCCAGGCTGGAGGCGTCTTCAGCTACCCTGGGCACCGGCCCTCATCACCCAAACCCACCCAGACTGACCCCCATCCCCAGGACCGCATCAAACTCAGAATTCTTGAGAAACATGAAAGACTGGAACAAGCAGTGTGTCTAGTATCTACTCTTTTCTCCATGCCATTGATTTTTGCTCTCACCTGTATTATTTCCTTCTATTTTTTTCTAGGTTTATTTTTGATTTATGATTTTTCTTTTTTTTTTTTTTTAAGATTTTATTTTTAAGGGGCACTTGGGTGGCTCAGTTGGTTAAGCATCTGCCTTTAGGTCAGGTCATGATCCTGGGGTCCTGGGATCGAGCCCCACATTGGTCTCCCTGCTCACGGGAAGCGGGGAGTCTGCTTCTCCCTCTCCTGCTCCCCCTGCTTGTGTGCTCTTTCTCTAATAAATAGACTCTTTAAAAAAGAAGATTTTATTTTTAAGTAGTCTTTACACCCAACGTGGGGCTCAAACTCACAACCCTGAGATCAAGAGTTGCACGCTCCACCGACTGAGCCAGCCAGCCACCCCTCTTCTTTGCTAATACATGTACTGAGGCCTCTAACGTTCCCTCTGAACACTGCGTTAGCTGCAGCCTGCCCGTATGAGACATCACATTTTCAAATCTTCTTGTTTTTAAGACCTGTGTTCTGTTCTTCTCTGATAAATTAAAATATAAAGTTTAAACGATAACTATAGTTTTTAATTTAAACTATAAAATTTATCTCACTTTATTTCCAGAACTACTTGGCTGCAGATTCTGTAAAAAGATTCGGTGGATTCAAGCTCCGAGGATTTTTTTTTTTTTTTTTTTAAGTAGGCTCCATGCCCAGCATGAAGCCCAGCGCACGGCTCAAATTCACAACCCCGAGATCAAGACCTGAGCTGGGATCAAGAGTCAGATGCTTAACCGAGTCACCCAGGCGCCCTGAAGCTCTGGGAATTTTAAGGGCTCCTCAGTACAACAGACAAGGGTCAAAAGGAACAGTCTCATGACTCTTGCCTTTTGTTCTGATATACAATTTCAGCTGAATAAAAATGACAAACATGATTTTCTTAAAAGAAAACTAATAACTCATCCAAATAAGGTCTTCCAGTGCCTTAGAAGAAGGCTTACTTGAAAAAATGCTTCTTGGGGCGCCTGGGTGGCTCAGTTGGTTAAGCGACTGCCTTCGGCTCAGGTCATGATCCTGGAGTCCCTGGATCGAGTCCCGCATTGGGGTCCCTGCTTGGCAGGGAGTCTGCTTCTCCCTCTGACCCTCCCCCCTCTCATGTGCTCGCTCTCTCTCATTCTCTCTGTCTCAAATAAATAAATAAAATCTTAAAAAAAAAAAAAAAAAGAAAAAATGCTTCTTTTAAGTTAACAGGAAATCTGCCAACGTTGTACTTAAATAGGAGCTTAGGAACAGAAACCATCTGCATGTTGCTGATCTAGATTTATTAAATTTATTTCATGTCATTGTGGTCACTTTTACAGCTGTTTAGACTTATTTTCAATCACATGACTGTTCACAGAATTCACAGAATTCATTAACAAACTAGTATTTTACACCCAAAGGTCTTCAGTAGCACAGCAAGATAGAAAAGATGCCCAACGAGGTGCTTGTGTGTGGAATCCGAGTCTGATTATAGAACATTATTGCTTCATTAGTCCTATTTTAAAAAATAATCAATGATTCCCAGGAAACCCACCCTGTTCTTTGTACGGCGACCGTTCCGGGCTCCCTCATGACAGGGCTGACGTGCAGGGGCCCATCGACCCCCCGACCCGTGTTCTCCACTGCTCTGGCAGCTAGGGGGGCCGCGGACATGGGACCGCACCCCTCCTCATGTGCTAAAATCATTTATAGCTTGCATCTTGCTCCCTGGTCTTGCAGCTGACGGACTTGCATTCACATAGGGCCTCTACATAAAACTTAAACTAGACATAAACAAGAAGGGCTCAGCAGATGGAGACTAATGCTCCTAAAACAGCCACTGACCATGCAGGGGAGAACATCGAAGCAGCAGAAAAACCTCGAGTCTCAGTCTGTGAAGGATGTTTTAAAGAAAATGGCCTCGGTGATTATGGTCCCAGGGCAGCCGCTTTGCGACACGACTTGAAGACTTCTGGGTAGATTTCATGGCTAGGTTTTCTTAATTTTTTCCCATGTGAGTTTCTATATTGTGAAAAATATCTTGGAGATTTCCTCGTGGCCCCCAAAGCTCTGTGGATCTGTTGAGACCGGGGACACGGGACTGGCCTCCTCAGGGACGCCGGCACTCTGACTGCGTCTGGGGCAGGATCCCTGAGAAATGGTGGCCGTGTCCGATTCTGGAGATGGGGGTGGATGCTGTGTGCGAGTGCAGGCTGCAGGCGGGGCCTCAGTCCAGCTTCTTGGTGTTGCCTGTGCTGTGCACAGAAGCTAAGAAGTCGACGATGAGCTTGGCCGTCTTCCTGGGCCTCTCCATCACCACTGAGTGCCCACAGTTTTCCAGAAGTTCTACCTGGCAGTTGGCGATCGACTTGGCCAACATGTCGGCCCCAGACACGTCGAGCACCTGCAGGACAAGAGAGGACGCTAGGTAGAAAAGCCTCAGATGCCCGTGTGTGCTCAGGGGACCGGACGCCGGCCCAGGCCTGGCAGAGGTGATTTTTAGGACCAAGTCACTTCAGTGTCAGGGCATGTAGCTTGCTGACAGGAGTGACTGCATGCCTTGCTCTGCAATTTGGTGTCCAGACTTATGTTGTTGCCAGCATTACTGAAGTGGAAACACACAGTCCCTGCCCAGGAGGAAGTTTTTTGGTCTGGCAGGGAAGCCAGACTGGTCAGCAGATGAGGGCTCTGAGGGTGGGGAACATACTGGGAGCTGAGAGTGCACAGGGGCGGAGGATTTGTGAAGAGGGGGGCAGGTCACGGAGAGGCAGGGGATGGCAGTTAGCTTGACACTGAGAGACAGTACGCAGGGAGCAAGGACGGCATGGTGGAGAGATGGGGGGTCAGGCCTCCATCTGAGGGCAGTGGGGAGCCGTGGGGCTGTGTTAGGGACGGACACAATCAGGCTGGACTAGAGAAGGCCAGCTCTAGGAAGGGCACACAGGGAAGACACAGGAGGTGAAGGCTAATTATCCCAAGCTGGGAGAGGTGGGAGTGTCTCTTTGAGGGTCTTCTGGGGGTCCCCAGAGCTGTGTGACCACGGGCCCTGGAGTTTGTGAATAATGGGGAATGCTCTTTTGATAAGAAAGGCACCGCTCTCAAGGGCTGACCCTTTCCTAACAATGCCCTCAATCTCACTGTCACCTGGGTTACCTTGCTTATTTACACACATCCAAGATTTTCTCCCCAACACCGTCCTATAGCATCAGATCTGCATCTGTTCCCCGTTTGTCATCGCTTTCCCCTTCAACTCATCCCGCACAAGAGGACCCCTCCTCTCATCCTCAATGCAAAAGCAAGACCCCCAACAAACTCACGTGCTGTCTGTGTTTGAGCTCCATTCTGGTCAACCCGGACCATTAAAACCAAGATTTTCCACCTGGGAAGTTGGGGGTCGGGGGCAGCACGCCTCAGCCAAGACATGGAGCGTGGAGCATAGCAAAGCACCTCCCGGGGCCACAAACAGGAGCAGTTAATGGGGAGAGGGGCACCCCGTGAAGGAATCAGACACCTCTGCCTGCCCCACACTCACAGGGAAGGAAGGCTGCTGCGGCAAGTGGGCAGAAATAAAGCCCAGCTTCTGTAGAAAAATCCCCACGGGAAATGCAGGTGGACGAACACTGAATGTCTATCCTGCAGAGAGGTCAGAACCCATAGCTCAAGAATACCCACATGAGCCTCTAGCTGTGACACTGTTACACTGGTCAAACCCAGCATTCCCCACGGTCACTCAGACGTATGGGAAATAGCCAGATGGACCCTCATGAGGTATGCACGTCTATGGGAACCACATCAGCTATTTCTTGGGCAAGACATTCATGTAGATGGTCAAATGATTCTCCTCCATCTCATTTCGGGCCAGGGCCAAGACTAGGGTGACGGAAGTGAGGCATCTGCCTTCCGGGCACAAAACTTAAGCAGCCTCCAAAAAACTCACGAATTAAGATGAAGATTTTAATGCAGTATTTAAAAAAATAGACATTAATGCAAAAAGATCCACCATGAACAAAATATAAAAATTATAAAGACAGGATCCAACCCTGCACTCACATGATCGACCTCACACTAGTTTGGGCTCCGCCAGGCGTTATAATGGCAGATAAACTAGAAGTTGCTGGAGCTCAGGAATCCTGTCTGTCTCGGTGCCTTCTGTATCCTCAGGGCCTAACACGGTGTCAGGCACATACCAGGTGCTCAGTATAAATCTGTTAGCTGACTTAAATGTATAGGCCATAAGTTGGTTTGTCCCTTTGCTAGTGTATTTACTTTCTTGCTTGCTTGCTCACTCACTCATACTCTGGGTCTCCTGCATCCTAGGCACTGTGGGGGCAGGATGAAGGGACCTTGTATATCTGCACAAGGCCCTCCCATTCTGGTGGACTAAACACAGAGGGGAAATACTTGAACTGATGTGCAGAAATCTCAGGAAGGGCTGCCAGGTTCAGTTGTGCAGGCTGCATACTGCCCAAATCCAGTGGGCATGATTCATGTAGACAACAATGGGCACAGCTATCCTGCAGTTGTACAGCACGGTGGCTGACCTACAGGGGTCCAAAGAAGAGGGAGGCTGAATTCAGCCTGGAAGGCACGGGGTTGGTGATCCCAAATGCTGACAACAGAGCAGAAAAAGAGCCAGATGCTTGGGAAGCAAAAGGCCATAAAATAAAGGGCCCCCAAAGCCTTTGCTATTTTGATTCTGCACTGGGGATGGTCCATAGAACACAGCGAATATCTGATCATATTTATAGTAGGCCCATGGAATGTTAGGCTCTTTTTTCAGAACAAAATGGACCTCAGTGACCTGGAAAAATTCTGGATCATAGGCAGAGGCCAACTCTCAGAGGCAAAGGACATGATTAATAAGTAACTTATTTTCTTGTCACTGGAGAAAGATCACCCTCATGTGTGTTACTTCACGTGAACCTCACATCACCCCAGTAGGAGAAGAGAAACCCAGGATTGGGAGCAGCTGAGTGGTTTGCTCAGAGTCATGGCCTGATGTAGGGCAAAGGCAGGGCTGGAACCCAGACTTTCAGAGTCCGAGCCCAGAGATCTTGCTTCTGCACTGTCTCTGCAGGGCAGGGCGATGGGTCCTTGCCTCTCCTTGCTGGTCCCTGAGAGCCCCAAATCACCTTTGGGATTTTTAGACTAGAGAAAGGCCTTCATTGTTCTAACTTGATTTCTGATCAAATAACTGCCTGCTGGCCTACTCCGTGTCCGCTTCCCCACTCAGGTGCACACAAAGCTCCTTCTAGTCCCTTGGCTGCTGCAGAGGGGAGCAAAGAGCCCTCCCTCCTCTCCATGCCCACATCCCTGCACTCTGTATCCTCAGCTGTACCTGCCGGTTTGGGAGAGCTGTACACTGTCGCGATCATCAGCACCCCCACGTGCACTGGGGCACAGTCCTGCCTGCTTCTCCCCACGGGTCATCCTGGGCCTTATAAAGACTCCATTTCTCATTGCCTCTTCTTGCTTTTTTATTTTATTTTATTTTATTTTATTTATTTATTCGAGAGAGCGAGAGACAGAGAGCATGAGCAGGGGGGAGGAGGCAGAGGGAGAGGCAGAAGCAGGCTCCCCGCTGAGCAAGGAGCCCAATACGGGACTCGATCTCAGGACCCAGGGATCAGGACCTGAGCCGAAGGCAGACGCCTAACGACTGAGCCACCCAGGAGCCCCTCTTCTTGCTTTAAACTTCAGAAGAACTTTGGGGCGCCTTCGGCTCAGGTCATGATCCCAGGGTCTTGGGATCGAGTCCCATGTTGGGCTCCCTGCTTAGCAAGGAGTCTGCTTCTCCCTCTCCCTCTCCCTCTGTACTCTCCCTCTCTCTCTCAAATAAAGAACATCTTTTAAAAAAAGAAGAAGAAGAACTTTGAGAGTAAGATATGACTTCTAAAGAACAACTGCAGGCAAGAAAGGAGCTTCTAGGGTATAAATCAGTCTCTCTTTGGAGGGTCTGTTACTGCTGTGTCCCCCCTCTAAAATTCGTAGTTTGAAGTTCTAACCTCCAATACCTTAAAAGGTGACTTTATTTGGAAATAGGGTAGCTGCAACTGTAATTAGCTAAGATGAGGTCATACTGGTGCAGGGTGGGCCCCTCACCCAATATGACTGCCACCCTTACAAAGATTTAAACACAGAAAAAAAAATTTAAACACAGAGACACACAGGTACAGGGAGAACGCTGTGTGCGGATGAAGGCAGATGGTAGCATGACACATCTATTAGCCAAGGAACACGGATTGTCAGTAAACCGCCAGAAGCTGGGGAAGAGGCATGGTACAGATTCTCCGACAGCCCCCAGGAGGAACTAAATTGCGGACAACTCGATCTTGGACTTCTAACCTATAGAACTTTAAGATGATCAATTTCTGTTGTGTAGGCCACCCAGTTTGTGGTACTTTGCTATGACCGCCCCAGCAAACTAATACAGAGCCACCTAATCAAACCTATTAAAATTTTATTATTTAAAAAAATTTTTTTTCTAAGTGAGCTCTATACCCAACGTGGGGCTTGAACTCATGACCCCGAGATCAAGAGTTGCATGCTCTACCGAATGAGCCAGCCAGGTGCCCCCGAAACCTATTACAGTTTTATTTTTTTTTAAAGATTTTATTTATTTATTTGAGACAGAATGAGAGAGAGAGAGAGCACATGAGAGGGGGGAGGGTCAGAGGGAGAAGCAGACTCCCTGCAGAGCAGGGAGCCCGATGCGGGACTCGATCCAGGGACTCCAGGATCATGACCTGAGCCGAAAGCAGTCGCTTAACCAACTGAGCCACCCAGGCGCCCCCTATTACAGTTTTAAAATGCACCTGCTCTTTGACCCAGTGAGTCCACAATGAAGAATTTACTCTTCAGGAATGCTCTCACACTCCCCAAACACACGTCTATGCTGGTGTTCACTGAGGTATTGTTTAACGGCAAAAAACTGGAAATGACCTAAATGACCATCAGTAGGACACTAATGAAATACACTGTGGCAGAGCCACACAATGGACTACTACGCGGCTATTATAGAGGATAATGTAAACTTTGGGGCAAGAATCATTCACAGATGGTCAATCTAGGGGGGAATGTTTGGTAAGGAGCAGGATATTTCAAAGTGTCTCCCACAGACTGCTTATCAGTCACCAAGGGACATAATACCTCTACAAGGAAGAGTGAGACAACGCCCTGACCAGGCAATCAACATGAATCTCACCAGGGAGGGGCAGAAGGACACTGTGTGTCCCAGGATGGGCTACCTTATCACTTATGAGCTATTCTGGCGGTGGTCTATAATCTGAGTTTAATCATGAGGAAACAGCAGACAAAGTCAAATTAGCAACATTTCATAAAATGACTGAGCTGTACTCTTCAAATATCTCAACATCATGAATGACAAAGCAGACTGGGGTCTCAGTCCCCAGTAAAGGAGACTACAGGGCCGTGACATGTAATATGGGACCCCAGATTAGATCCTGCTTCAGGGAGGCAGGAACATTCTACGTAGCTCCTTACTGAAATAACCTATGAATTTTATTTTATTTTATTTTTTTAAAGTAGTCTCCATGCCCAGTGTGGAGTCCAACGTGGGGTTTAAACTCACAGCCTTGAGGTTAAGACCTGTGCTGAGATCAAGAGTCAGATGCTCAACCGACTGAGCCACCCAGGTCCCCCGCCCATGAATTTGGAATATGGGCGTCAGATTAGACAAAAACATTGCACCAGCGTTAAAATTCCTGAATATGACCACGCACTGTGGTTAAGTGAGAGAATATTCTTGCTCTCAGTAAATATACCCTGAAGTATTGGGGGTAAAAGGGCATAATGTAAGCAACCTACTTCAATGGTCAGAAAATAGATAGATGAGAATGTTTAAAAAAGCCAATGCAGCGGGGCGCCTGGGGGCTCAGATGGTTAAGCATCTGCCTTCGGCTCAGGTCATGATCCCAGGATCCTGGGATGGAGCCCCGCATCGGGCTCCCTGCTTGGTGGGGAGCCTGCTTCTCCCTCTCCCTCTACTGTTCCCCCTGCTTGTGCTCTCGCTCTCTCTGTCAAATAAAAGAAAATCTTAAAAAAAAAAAAAAAAAAAGCCAATGCAACAAATGTTAAAAAATTGGTAGTAAATAAAACATGGTACATGTATACCATGGAATGACACTCAGCTATAAAAGGAACAAAGCACTGACACGAAGGAACCTCAAGAACATTATGCATGAGCAAAGAGAGCCAGATACCAAAGACTACCTATTATATGATACCATTTATGTGAAAATTCAGGAAAAGTTGTAAAACTGTAGAAATAGAAAACAGATCTGTGGTTGTGTGGGGCTGGGACTAACTGCAAATGGGCGGGAGGGAACTTTGGGGAGTGAAATGTTCTACAACTGGGTTGTGATGGGGCACCCAAGTAGGTGAATTTGATGGTAGGTAGATGATACCTCAATAAAGCAGTTAAAATGAATGGAGTTAGGGAAAGTGTATGTAAGAGTATTCTGTACTCATTATTTTTCTATAGTTTTGAAATTATTTCAAAATAAAATATTAAGAATGGGAAAAGATATGTGCAAATGACATATTTGATAAAGGGTTGGTATCCAAAATATATAAAGAACTGATGCAAGTCAACATCCAAAATTGGGGCCCCTGATTGGCTCAGTTGGTTAAATGTCAGACTCTTAGCTCAGCTCACGTCTTGATCTCAGGGTTGTGAGTTCGAGGCCTGCACTGGGCTCCACATTGGGCATGGAGCCTGCTCAAAAAAAAAATCCAATTAAAAAATGGGCAGAAGACATGAACAGACATTCTCCAAAGAAGACATACAATGGCCAACAGACACATGAAAAGATGCTCAACATCACTTATCATCAGGGAAATGCAAATCAAAACCACAATGAGATATCACCTCACACCTGTCAGAATGACTAAAATAAAAAACACAAGGAATAGGATGTGGAGAAAGGGGAACACTCTTACACTGTGGGTGGGAATTCAAACTGGTACAACCACTGTGGAAAACAGTTTGGAGGTTCCTCAAGCAGTTAAAAATAGAACTACACTACGATCTAGTAATGGCACTACTGGATGTTTACCCAAAGAATACAAAAATACTAATTCCAAGGGATACATGCACCCATATGTTTATAGCAGCATTATCTACAATAGTCAAATTATGGAAACAGGCCAAGTGTCCATTGACTGATAAATGGATAAAGAAGATGTGGCAGATATATACAATATTACTCAGCCATTAAGAAGAATGAAATCTTGCCACTGGCAATGACGTGGATGGAGCTAGAGAGTATCACGCTAAGTGAAATAAGTCAGTTGGAAAAAGACAAACACCATATGATTTGACTCATGTGGAATTTAAGAAACAAAACAAATGAACAAAGGAAAAAAGACAAGCCAAAAAAACCAGACCCTAAACTATAGAGAACAAACTGATGGTTACCAGAGGGAAGGGGGGGATGGGTGAAATAGGTGATGGGGATGAAGGAGGGCACTTGTCCTGATGAGCACTGGGTGATGTATGGAAGTGTTGAATCACTGTATTGTTCACCTGAAACTCATATAACACTGTATGTTAACTTACTGGAATTAAAATTTAAAAAAATCTTGTGGCTCCTGGGTGGCTCAGTCAGTTTAGCATCTGACTCTTGATTTCGGCTCACGTCATCATCTCAGGGTCGTGAGATCGAGCCCCGCATCAGGCTCTTGCTGGGTGTGGAGCCTGCTTAAGATTCTCTCTCTCTCTCCCTCTGCCCCTCCTCTCTCTCTAATTAAAAAAAAAAAAAATTTTTTTTAAATCTTTTAAAAAAGCAGGATTTAACCATTGGTCCTGTCATTTTTGTGTATGACTATAAAAGCTTACCCAAACGTATTAATAAAAGTCAGTAAAATTAAAAAAACATATATAAAAAATAGACTGAGTAAATCTACATGGGCTGGTATGAAATGATTTCCAAGATACAGACATCCCTACATATATGAAGTACTGTGAACAGTGTCGTTACGCACGTTTGAAAAACTTACAGATGTGACTACCTCTGCAGATACGCATATGCTCAGAACGGCAGTAAGCAGGCAGTGGCCAACTGCCTGTCTGTGGGAATAGAGGTTCGCTGGCACTCTGCCACGCCACTTTCTGAGTACTGTCTGTAGCTACTCTGCACAACAGCAGAGCTCGGGAGTTGCGACAGAAGTGTACGACCCACAGAGTCGGAAATACTTGCTATCTGGCCCTTCACAGAAAACATGTCAATCCCTGCCTTAGGAAACGGAAGAAACGTATGCAAGACAGTGAGAGCTACCCTGGGATGGAAAATAGATCAAATTTTCGTTACAACCCTTTTTGTACTCTTTAAAGTTTTTTTTTACGATTTTGTTTATTTATTTGAGAGCGGGAGAGAGACAGAGAAAGCGAGCATGAGCAGGGGGAGGGGCTGACGGAGAGGGAGAAGCAGACTCCCTACTGAGCAGGGAGCCCGACATGGGGCTGGATCCCAGGACCTCGGGATCATGACCTGAGCTGAAGGTAGACGTTTAACGACTGAGCCACCCAGGCGCCCCTCTTTAAAGTTTTTTGTACTATGAGACTACATGGCTTTGATAAAAGTAATTTGTAAAAATGATTTAAGATTGCCTTTCGTTTTATTTATTTTATTTTTTTAAGATTTTTAAAACTTTTTTTTTTAAAGATTTTATTTATTTATTTGAGGGAGACAGAGAGAGAGAGAGCATGAGAGTGGGAAGGGTCAGAGGGAGAAGGAGACTCTCCGCTGGGCGGGGAGCCCAATGCGGACTCCATGCTGGGACTCCAGGATCATGATGTGAGCTGAGGGTAGATGCTTAACTGACTGAGCCACCCAGGCGCCCTTAAGATTTTTAGTTATTTATTTGAGAGAGAAAGAGAGAGCAAGCATGAGGGGGAGAGGCAGAGGGAGAAGCAGGCTCCCCACTGAGCAGGGAGCCCGATGTGGGGCTGGATCCCCCGACCCCGGGATCATGACCTGAGCCAAAGGCAGATGCTTAACCGACTGAACCACCCAGGCGCCCTGATTTCCTTTCATTTTAAAAGATCAACATCTTTGCTCTCAACTCAAGAGAACAATGCCCCCCATAAATATCAGCACCTGACCCAGGTGTGTTCTATCTCCTCCTGGTATCAGAAACCAGCCAGTGAGGCTCACTCGATAAATGACCTCTTGCTTTTCCTCAGAGGCCGGTGTAACTGGCAAAGGGGCCCCAGGGACGCGCTACATACCTGGTCTTGTTTCCCCCAAATGATCTGCGTTGGGACCTTGATCTTGTCCATGTTCTGATGGAGGGAGTATCTTGACTTCTCACTGACGATTTCCAAAAACACTTTTCAGAAAAGGAAAACAAAGTGAGTGCGTGCCGGGCTGTGCCTGTGGGCACCAGAACTCTACAGAGTTCAGGGACGGTCATGGACTCAGGGCTGCCACTTTGTCCTTAGGGGCCCCAGAAAATGATCAAAATCTCGGAAATGTCAAATACAAAAGCCAACCACCCATACAGCTTCACTCGTCACAAGCACCAAGCTTAACCACAGCTACTTACGCTTTCTGTAGAAGTTGTTATGAGGAATACGGACGTCAACAAGGCCTTGCAGGATCTACAGAGAAGTGAGCCACGGTTAGAAGGCAAGAGACAGGTTGTTTCCTCAGGCCCCCCGTGGCTCCGGGACAGCGAAGGAAATAAAGTCTGGCAATGTATGGCAGTGTCTAGGTTTTAGGGCCCAGGGTTTTAAATTCCCACCACGGAGTATGCATTGTAATTGGGAGTTAGGGTCATCTGACGCTTTTTCCTTTGTAATTAGGAAGGAACCCGGGTAATGCTGGGAAGCCAAAGCATGTAAAAACACCTGACATGGGCTCACAGCCACTTTATCTTGAGATATTCTCTGCTTAGCCTAAAATACAATCAAGGCTGGAAATAATATCAAGGAATTGTTTAGTAATATCCAAATGCAGAATAAGGTCTATTAAAAAAAAATCAAACTATTGGGGATGATGGGCCTCTTGAACAATAAAGAGATAAACCATTTAAAAAATTCTGGGATCGGTTCCATAGTCCTTTGTTTATTATTCAGTGTTATCCTTGCTTTCCTCGTGGAGGGCTGGTGAAGGCTGCAGTCAACGTGGGCACGCCAGATCTCCTGGACCTGGGATCCTGACCCCAGAGGCTGGCTGTGGGAAGAAGGAACACAGCCCTCCTCTTCCTCCTGCTGCAGGATCCCTGAAGTAGGGTACAGCGTTCACATTAGCACCAGCACTCCTCTCCTCTACCTGGGAATGGTTTGAGCCCCTCAGATGCACCCTGAGGAGTCCTGTGCACTGACTGAAGGGGGAAAATGCAGCCAGAACTGCTCTGAACCAGCCCTCTGGAGCATGACTAGAATCTGAACATTCTGGAAGTGAAAGCCTAGACACCAATGGCAAGTTGTCTAACACACTGCACTCGGCATCAGCCATGTTGTTTGCTCTACTATGATCTTGCACCCGCACATCTATCCATCTTGCATCCTCTACCTCTGCTCTACCCACCCAGCCACCCACCTTGCTTGCATCTGACTCATGTGTGCATATATCTGTGCATCCACCTACCCTGCACCTACCTATCCATCCATCCATCCTCCATCCCTGCTTCATGCAGACATCCATCCACCCATCCATCCCCCCACACTACATCTCTGAATCATACATGCATGTCTACTGATGTATCCCTCTACCCTATATCCGCCAATCCATCCACCTTCCATCCCGGCATTCTCCAGGCCTCCTCATCCAACCAAGTACTCAGCCATTCATCTCTCCTGCATCCCTAAATCACCTACTCATGTACATGCAACAATTCATGTGCGCATCTACTCTGCACCTACTCACACATCCATTCTCCATCTCTGCATTATCCTCCCTCCCTCTGACCCACCCAATCTATACCAAGGACCTACTTCACGCAAGCACTGTGTTAATAAAGGCTGCCAGTTAAGACAAAATCCTTGATCTTACTGAGGTTAGAGTGGAAGACGCAGACAAGTTAACAGACAAACATAACATGACATAGAGTGCTCGGGTGCTCCTTGTCTCCTAGGAGGGAAGACTTCTAGAGCTGCCACTTACTCTCTCCCCATGTTTTCATATCCCTGACGACTCAAAGCATGGAATTTCCTAAAGCACTGTTTGGCCACTCTCTTCTGGGTAGAGAGCATGGCTGGGAGGGGATCAGTGCAATTTCACAACTAAAAAGGGGATTTCAGGGATAGAATGTACCACAGAATCGGATTCTGGGTGCTTCTATACCCCTTGACTGAGTCATGTTCACACCTTCTGAATACAGCCCATACCCTCAACTTGTGGGAGGACCCACCCCACTGCGAGGCAGGGTCCAGTTCCTACACTAGAAAGAGATTAGTTGCAGTTATGAGACTTAGCCATGCGTTCTCGTCTCTTGGTTTCCACAGTGCCTCCCATTCAGACCGTGACCGGTAACATCGTCCTGGTGGACGGCTCTAACTGGACAGCTCCGGGCCAGACGTCCCTCAGCTCCGCCTGCATATGCAACCGGCTGCTCAGCAGCTGCACCCGGAGGCCTCACAGACAACCTGAACACGTCCGAAATGGAGCCCTTCGCTTGTCCCCAAGACCTCTTCTCCCGCTCTCCTTCCCTCACTCAGAAACTGCTGCCTTTGTCCAACTCAAGTACCAGAAGCCCCCTGTGAGTCCTCACTGTCCCTCATCCTCCACTGCCAATTTGCCAGTAAGTCCTGCCCATCCTTCCTCCCAAAGCAGCTCGAGTCTCTAGTCTCCACTGCCACTGCCCTCGTCTACACCACTGTCATTGCCAGGCCACATGAGCACCCCCCTGGTCTCTGCTTCTGTTTGTGCCCCCCACAGTCCTCTTAGGGGAACTGCAGGCTCCTTCCCATAACCTGTAGGGTCCTACGTGATCTAGCCTAGTGGTTCTCCAAGTGGCTCCTGGGAACTCGTGAGGTCAAACGATCTCCCCCGTAACGGCTAAATGTTACTTGCCTGCTTCACGTCCATGCTCTCAGAAGCATTGTGTGTCTCAGAGCCTGCTTGTGGAGGGGCAGCGTCATCATGCTGACAGCTAATGGAATGAGCGCCTGTATGTTCTTGTGTTTTACCTTTGAGTTTTACTTTCTGATATGGTAAATATCAGTAGTCAGAACCTCCACAAACAAAAGCTCTTTAGGATTCTTAGCAATTTTTTTTTTTTTAAGATTTTATTTATTTATTTGAGAGACAGAGAGCATGAGAAGGAGGAAGGTCAGAGGGAGAAGCAGACTCCCTGCCGAGCAGGAAGCCCGATGCGGGACTCGATCCCGGGACTCCAGGATCATGACCTGAGCCGAAGGCAGTCGCTTAACCAACTGAGCCACCCAGGCGCCCGGTTCTTAGCAATTTTTAAGTGTGTAAAGCAGTCCTGAAATTTAAAAAAAAAGAAAGAAGAAAGAAAGAAGAAAGAAAGAAAGAAAGACAGAAAGAAAGAAAGAAAGAAGAGAAAAGAAAAAAGAAAAGAAAAGAAAAGAAAAGAAGCAAGTCTCTCCTGCAGCCCTTGCCTCCCTCCCCCGCTCTCCCTCTACATAGATGCCAGGCCCCCCAGCCTCCTTCCAGTGTCTTGAACTTATCTATGTTTTCCCCACCTCTGCCCACATTATTTCCTCAGAGAGGCTTATCAAAGACTCCCCCAACTCCCTGCTTTCAATCACTATACCATCTTCATTTCCGCCATAGGACTTATCACCATGCGTACGTATTTACTTGTGAACTGTCTGCCTCCCGCACTGGCCTGTGTCTGCCCAGGTACCCTCTCTGTCTTCTTTCCTCACAACTGTGTCTAAACACCATGCCTGACCCGTCACAGGCCCAGGACAGACAGCCGTCGAATGACTACATAGAGGAGCACAAGAGGGAAGGGGTGCGTGAGGAGGCTGGCTGAACCTCTGGCAGGGGGCAGGCATATTGCTGCTGAGAGCACGGTACCTGCTGGGGCACCTTGAAGCGGACATAGGAGCAGAGCTGGAGCATTTCACTCATCTCCTCTGGGGTGGATGGGATCAAGGGGATCTTCTCCACGGCGGCCGAGTTCTGCAGTTCTTTGAGCCGCTGTACAAATTGATTATCAGTTGAGTACTGCAAGCCTGCGGGATTCAAACCAGAACAGCTTGGCAACGTACCTACCTTCTTACCAACTCTCATTTTATATAGGAAACTTCCAATATCAGCCCAGAGGCTAATATATTTCAGGTGTTTTTCACCAGAATTCTTTTTCATTGGTACTACCATCCTGGCTCAGTCAAAACCCCACTCTGAGAAACATAGAAAAAGACTCCTTCAGGATGGTTTAGGGACTGGTTACTCAAACTGTGGTCCATAGACCAGCAGCATTGGAAGCCCATAGGAAATGCAGAATCTCGGTCCCTCTCCTAAGTCTCTTGACTCTGAATCTGCACTCGAACAAGCTGCCAGGGTGGCATGTGTATGAAAGAGTTTAAGAAGCATCAGTCTAGAAGACAACTTGCCTGAGCCCCTTCACATCCGTTATCATTGAGAGGAGAGCTGATAAAATACATGATGGGAAGAGAACACAGGACTGGAGTGACTGACGCCTCCTTCCCTTGGCCTGGAGCCACTTAGTAGTCTCTTTTTTGGGGTCAATACATAACCACAGGGAGAGAGAGAATAGCTGCCCTCCACACAGCCCCTCTTCCTCCAGGAGAGCATTAGGTGCTCACTGAGACCAGATGCCTTTGAGATTGACCATCATTTCCTATCTCCCTGGAGCAAGACATGAGAGAATTCGTTCACATGAGCTGATGTGCACGGGAGGGCAGAAGTAATTTTCACTTCCAACACGGAGCGAAGGTCTAGGTGTTTAACTCAGCTGATGAGCTACGTTTCACAAAGAAAGGCAGTGACATCGATACTACGCTGCAGAAATCCACACTTTATAAATTTCCTATATTCAGCAGTTCCTTTAAAGCCAGCGCAAGCATCGTGTGGCTTCTGTGATGTCATGGGGCAGGTTACACGATCTATTTCCTTTTACTTTAAAAATAATCCTAGATTGGGGAGCCTGGGTGGCTCAGTCGTTAAGCGTCTGCCTTCGGCTCAGGTCACGATCCCAGGGTCCTGGGATCGAGCCCCGAGTCGGGCTCCATGCTCGGCGGGGAAGCCTGCTTCTCCCTTTCCCACTCCCCCTGCTCGTGTTCCCTCTCTCGCTGTGTCTCTCTCTGTCAAATAAATGAAATCTTTAAAAATAAATAAATACATAAAAATAATCCTAGACTAAATGTCAGGTGGTATCCTGGATTGGATCCTGGAACAGAAAAAGGACATTAGCGGAAAAACGAATGAAATCCAAATTCATCCCAGAGTTCAGTTAATAGTGCTGTTACCAGTGTTGGTTTCTTAGCTGTGACAAATTTACTGTGATAAGGTAAGCCATTAACAATGGGAGAAGCTGGGTGAAGGGTTATATGGGACTCTCTGTACTATCTCTGCAACATTTCTGTAAATTTAAAATTATTCCAAAGTAAAAAAGCTTATCTTTTCATTTCCACACACAAATAATTTTAATTTTATTTATTTTTAATCACTCAATCAATTAGTTAAGAGCATGAGTGGGGAGGAGGGGCAAGGGGAGAGGGAGAGAGAGAATCATAAGCAAGCTCCACACTCAGTGCAGAGCCAGCCACGGGGCTCGATCTCGAGACCCTGAGATCATGACCCGAGCCGAAATAAAGAGGCGGATGCTTAACTGACTGAGCCACCCAGTTGCCCGCAAATAATCTTAATTTTAAATGCCCAATTGAAACTTAGGTGTGAAACTCTTCTCTGAGCAAATGAACATACATTCAAAAAAGCCAGTTAGATTTGACCTTCTATAAACGATTAAAAATCTGATAATTTCCATAGGAGCTGTTTCTCCGATTCCCAAACTTTATTACCAAAAGACCAAATGAATTCAGACATAGTGCTTGGAAAAAGGAGAAAAGAAAACCCTTTGGGAGTTTCAATTTCAATGTTCCTAACAGACCTGAAAGCGATTTTGTGACTAAAAGATTTTAAAATGTCAGTTTAGTTATGTTTCAGTAGAAGGTGTGACTCACGGCAGGTTCTAGCAGATAAAGGAGGTCGTGGGTAAGAGTGACATATAAGAGGTAGTGGACATCAAAGGATTTCCAAAAAAGCCACAGTTTGCGTTCTAGGGTCAGACAACCTAGGATCCCTTCCTATTGTAGCTCCAGCAGTAACGTAATTTTTTCGTGCCTCAATGTTCCCACCTATAAAATGGCTGTACTATCTTGATCTGGATAGTAATTACCCATGTAAAAAGTCATTGAGATGTACACTTAAAATTTGGGCAATTTACTATGTGTAAATCATAATCTAATAAAGTATGAGAGAGAGGGAGCAGGAGAAGGAAAAAAAAATTAAGATTTTCTCACTAACACATTATAAATCCTAATTTGAAGATTTATAGAAGAAAATGAATTCTAAAAATCCAACTTCAGGGGCGCCTGGCTGGCTCAGTCAGTGAATATGTGACTCTTGATCTTGGGGTTAAGTTTGAGCCCCACAATGGATGTAGAAATTACTTAAAAAAATAAAATCTTTTTTTCCCCAATAAAATCCTTAAAAAAAAATCCGACTTCAAATTGTCATTTCTGGGGACATATTACAGTTCAAGTTGACATGTATACACATAAAAACACAGAAACTAAAGTTTGTTGATTTTTTTAAAAAAAGATCTTGTCATGTATCAAGATTTCTGAGTTTTCAGCAAAAAAGGAGAGAGGCATAATAATAGTACTTTCACCTTAGAAGGATATGGCAAGAATTAAATCCATATAAAGACCTTAGCTCGTAAGAGCTCAATAAATTTTAGATGTTAGGTGGCTTAGTCAGTTGAGCATCTGACTAGGTTTCAGCACGGGTCATGACCTCAGAGTCATGGGACTGGACCCTGCACTGGGCTCCGTGCTGATCGCGGAGTTTGCATGTCCCTCTCCCTAGGCTCCTCCCCCTGCTCACTCTCTCTCTCAAATAAATAAATAAAATCTTAGAAAAAATGTTGGCTGTTAATATTATCATTACATTTCGAAGTATTTATATGCTGCAACGTACTAGGACACACTTAAATTAACCACCTTGGATCCTTTGTGGAACAAGGCTGGCTCTAGATTTTCAAAGTTAGTATGGTTATGATTACGGTTATACAAGTACTGTTGGTTAGTTATCACTGAAGCATTGCATATCTCTAAAGTAGATATTGAAAAAAAGATTCTACAAGATAGCGCAGACCCTGCCATTTGCTCAAGTCACGCACAGGACTTATTTTAGCCTCGTAACTTACCAGCAGGGCACACGAGACTAAGACTGCAGATATCTGATGGGTAGTAAGCAGCATATACCCCAGCCACGTGGCCACCCATGGAGGTGCCTATGAGGTGGAAGGGTTTTTTGTTCAGCTTGAGGCATTCTACAAACTAGGGAGGGAAATGAGAAGGAGGTTTGGTTATATAGCTGTAGACAATAACAAGACTGATTACATAGCAGAAAACCTCTGACATCTACTGGATCCATTATCCAGACAAACCCTGTGGCATATAATCCTCTTTACCTGGCAAGGTGACTGAAGGGTCATTTTTAAGTATAAAACCAACAAGGATTCCCCTAACTCATGAGCCAGCAAACTTTTTTTTTTTTTTACAAAGGTCCCAAGAGAAATATATTTCTTGCTTTGTGGGTCGTATGTTCTCTGCTGCTGTTGTAGCACAAAAGTGGCCAGAGCTAACATGTAAATGAACGAACATGGTTATATTCCAAGAAAACCTCGCTGACAGAAAGCCAACGATGGCTTGCTGATTCTTACCCTACATTTAAAGCCCTTCCCATCCATCCATTCATTTCATATAATGATTCACCTGTCTATTCAACCATCTAACCGTTCATCCAACCATTCCACCAACCATCCACCAATCTAAAAAAAATATTTATAGGATATCGATTATGTACAAGGAACTATGGTCAGCTCCTGAGGATACAGCAAGGACCCCAAAAGACAAGGTTCCTGACCTCATCAGAATACACACTTTAAAGGTAAGGGTTAGGCTGGAGTGTCAGAAACCTTCCCTAAGAATATTCATATGGTGAATATTCATATATTCATATGGTGAAATGATTTCTAAGGTGCAGATTTTATAAATAATACTGAACTCAGTAACTTCTGTCTTAAATAAACAACCTCATCTGGGGAAAATTCATAATGTCAGTTTGTAACTTAGAGATTACTAAATTCTGAAGTGATTCATGAGCCCCATGACCTTGAAAGCCCTGCCAGAGAGAGGCTGAAGCTAGATGCTAAGAAAGAACAAAATGCAAAGAGCACCCTCCCCATCCTCCACAACTAGGCAGAGGGGCCATCATTATGTTGTGTCATGTAGGTGGTAAGCAAAAAAAATAGACTCTAGGGAAATGGTCTTGAGAATTCTAAACTCCTTTTTTAAAGAGCTAAAAAAAATGTATCATATTTCTTGAGAAATAACTAAATAAAGTAGGCTTAAAGGAGAACCGTCTGCAATAGGTCCTGGTCTTCCACAGCTGACCAATGATACCACTGGGATGCCATTTTTGTTTGCAAATATTTACAGACAGAATGAACTGGATGCTGGTTACAAGTCAGCATGGGACTCTCTTTCGTGCTCCCCAGACTTGGGCACGCAAGGTGGGTAACACACAGTCTGAGCAATTTTTGGTGGAGCCTCCTGCTTACCTGGTGTATCCTCTTCACTTGCCCATCTATGGACAGATCATCCAGGGAGGATCGGGTGGTGCCCTCATGCCCTGGCATGTCCACGCAGACCAAGTGCAGGTTCTTTGGAAGGAACTAGGGACACACAGGTGCAGAGAGTCAGGATGTGGTGTGCAGGACATGTCTGCCCACTCTTCTAGGGAGGTCACCCCCACTTACCAAGTGACCTGGACAGCCATCCCTGAGGATGTCTGGGCCTGGGCCACCCAGTGTCTTATCCTAGTTATATCTGATGTGAGTAAGCACTGCTAGTAGCCTCCTAGGGAGCAGAGACCCTCAAAGACCAACACAGAGATGGGAGGGGACTCAGGAGATGTGTGGAAAGGGGGGGGGAAGAGGGGAACAAAGGTTGGGGTAGCAGGCCTGAGTCTCGCTCTTTCTCGATACCAGTTGGTAGGTACTATCTCCTTTCCTTTCACCCCCTCCACACTTACTCCAGTCATGCAGCCACTGACTTGGGGAGACTTGGAGCTAGGAAAGAAGACTCTGTTCTCCCAGAACCCTGGGCGGCTCCAGAGCCAACAGGAGCAAAGCTCAGAACCATGTCTGATCACTCTGATTCTGGTTTCAACCCACGCCCCCATTTTTTTTTTTTTGCATTAAGGTCTAATTCCTGGGGTGATTATTATCCAAAAACACCTTCCATTTATATTTGTGCCACTTTTAACCAGAAGCTGAGAAACATCAGTTATCAATACACAAAATACCAGTTATACCAAAAATATCTGAGGTGGGTCAGGAAGTGAGAGGTTCGTTAAGGCATGAGGATGACTGTCCTTATAGTGGAATTTGGGAATGAGAACAGAAGTGACTATAGGATGTGTGAGCCTTTTCCCCCTGGTGTAGATCCTATTTGGAATCATCCAGGTATGGTTCTGCTTGAGGTGGGAGTCTGGAGCACGTCCCTCCCAAGACCTCTCCCAGGCCCAACCTATAGCAGCTGGTCACTCTTACCAAGTAGAGCAAGTTGCCACACCCAAGGAAACCAGGACAGGAAGTGAGTGATTTGGAAAACTATCTCAGAAAGCTGTTGTCAGATCAAGACAGTTTCTCTAAATGGCTCAGGAAAATTAAAAAACAAAAACAAAAGCAAAAAAACAGAAGTAGAAGGAGGAAGGGAGAAGGAGAAGAAGACAAAAGGGGGGCTGAGGGGAAAGAAGAGGAGACACCCAGGGCGCCTGGGTGGCTCAGTCGTTAAGCGTCTGCCTTCGGCTCGGGTCATGATCCCAGGGTCCTGGGATCGAGTCCCACATCGGGTTCCCTGCTCCGCGGGAAGCCTGCTTCTCCCTCTCCCACTCCCCCTGCTTGTGTTCCTGCTCTCACTATGTCTCTCTCTGTCAAATAAATAAATAAAATCTTAAAAAAAAAAAAAAAAAAAAGAAGAGGAGACACCTGGAGTATAAAAGAATAAATGATTTTGTTCAACCTGATCTTGACAGTCATGACAAGTTCTGAGAGGAAGCGGAGTGTCAGAAACCTTCCCTAAGAATATTCATATGGTGAATATTCATATATTCATATGGTGAAATGATTTCTAAGGTGCAGATTTTACAAATAATACTGAACTCAGTAACTTCTGTCTGACAAAAGGATTTGAGAAACACAGCTGACTCTCAAACAACATGGGTTTGAACCGTGCAGGTCCACTGAGACATGGATTTTTCCGATACGATGCAGTACATGTATTTTCTCTTCCTTACGATTTTCTTAATAACATTTTCTTTTCTCTAGCTTATTTTAAGAATACAATCTATAATACATATGACATACAAAATATGTGTTAACTGACCATTTATGTTATTGGTAAGGCTTCCAGTTAACAGATTATTCGTAGTCAAAGTTGGGGAGAGCAAAAAAGTTATACGTGAGTTTTTGACTGCATCATGGGTGGGCTCCCTTAATTCCCAAGTTGTTCAAGGGTTAACTGTATACTGAATTAGTTTTTTTGTGTGTGGGGTTTTTTTAAAATAGGTTCCATGCCCAACACGGGGCTTGAACTCACAACCCCTGAGATCTAGAGTCGCATGCTCTACCGACTAAGCCAGCCAGGTGCCCCTCTACTGAATTAGTTTTAAGATGATTTGAACCACAGTTCTGGGTTCCCTTGGCTTTCCAACATTGCTGATGACATCACATGCAAGTGGACACCCTTTTCTTTACTGAGTGCCACCCTGCGGAGAGAGAAGAACCTAGAACCGCACCTTGACCACGCTGAGCCACATATCCTTGTGTGCAGAGAACCCATGGAGCATGAGGATGGACGGTTTGTGCCCAGGCCTGCCCCGGAAGGAATAACAGAACTGATACTCTTCGTGGTAAACGTAGCGGACCTGCATACCCAACGTTCTCCGCCAGTACCTGGGAGGAAAAATAGAGGCGAGACAAAATCAGCAAGCTCCAGAGAAGTGGCTTTGGGAGGGGCATGTGCCCTGTTCACAGTCCTACTTCATGGGAAGACAAACCCTTCTGCCAGCTCCCCTCCTCCTCCTCCCCAGAAGTCTCTAGAGTCCCCCTGAGCTTCACCCTCAGGGCGCACTAAGTGAAACCGTTCCAGGAAGCACCTTAAATAAATATTCTGGTATGTACTTTTCTAATACTTCTAACTAGGAGGAGAAAAGAAGAGTAGTTTCTGAAGGAGCATGACACGTCATAGCCTTTTGTTAATCTATATATTTGTATCTCTATTTTTAGCAGTTTGAATGGTGGTGTGATGAAGGAGTAGGTGGTGGGATCTCTCCAGCTGTCTGACTGGCCTTTCTCTGCCTCGCTTGCTTGAGCTGCAGCTGAATTCAAAGTGGCTGGCGGTAAGGATGGGAAGAACTCCAGAAAGGCCAAGACGAAGGCAGTTTCCCCTTGCAGAGAGCCGGCTTGCATTTCCTGGCGGGCCATATTCACGGACACCTGAAATCTAGGACGAAGAGCCACGAATGCTATTCGTGTAGCGCCATCCCAAAGTAAGTACCTCACTGCAGAGGGACTCTGACAGGCAGGAAATGCATCCCAAGACTTAAGGTAAAGCAACCTGCTCTCTGTGGAGAGGAAGAACCAGCCTCTCTCATCAAGGCTACGATTGCTGGCGGTGGTGTCACTCCACACATCCACAAATCTCTGACTGGGGAGAAAGGACAACACACGACTGTCTAAAGGGTGCCTGGATTCCTGACGATCTCAGGACGAAACCCTCGGAGACAGCTGTCCAGCGTTGGTGAGTCCAGGGGACTCTTATCTCTGTGAAAAACACAATTTGGTCCTTCTGTAATTCTATTTGAGCAAGTGGGAAGTTTAATTCGCTTTCCAGCCAACCAAATTTCTGCTTTTGAGTCTTAACATTTTTTAAGAGCGACTGTGGCTTTAAAGAAGCTATTGATTTTGAACTAGTGGATTTTGATTGAGTGGACTGGATTTTGATTGTGATGTAGAAGTCATAGTAACAAACATTTGTTTTTATACAGACATTATTTCCACTCTGGTGGATAAGCTCAATAAGGGCCATATGCCACCTCCCAAACACATATGCATATATACGTATTTAAAAATATATATTAATTAGGGCGCCTGGGTGGCTCAGTCGTTAAGCGTCTGCCTTCGGCTCAGGTCATGATCCCGGGTCCTGGGATCGAGCCCCACATCGGGCTCCCTGCTCTGCGGAGAGCCTGTTTCTCCTCTTCCACTCCCCCTGCTTGTGTTCCTGCTCTCTCTGCGTCTCTCTCTGTCAAATAAATAAGTAAAATCTTTAAATATATATATATATATTAATTATATATATATTCATATATGCTGGTTTCTTTCCCCTAGAGATTTTGAGAGTGAGAACTTGACTTTTTTTTAAGACTTTATTTATTGATCTGAAAGAGAGAGGGAGATAGTGAGAGAGAGCACGAGTCGGGGGTGGGGAGGGGCAGAGGGAGAAGGAGAAGCAGGCTCCCCACTGAGCAGGGCTTCTCAGGACCCTGGGATCATGACCTGAGCCAAAGGCAGATGCTTAACCGACTGAGCCACCAGGCACCTGAGAACTTGACTCTTAGGAACTATCTGCATCAGTCCTCTGGCTTTATTCCTCACAACATACGGCAGCTGGTTGAAAGTTCAGCTTCTGTCGGTTACGTAAGACTTGGCAGTGCTGGAGTTTGGCCCGGATTCGATTTCAATATGGAATTACCATCAAACAAATTGAACTCTCTGCATGAAGAATCTCTCTAAGACGAAAGATAATTAATTCAGGGGCGCCTGGGTAGCTCAGTCGTTAAGCATCTGCCTTCGTCTTGGGTCATGATCTCAGGGTCCTGGGATCGAGCCCCGCATCGGGCTCCCTGCTCCGCGGTAAGCCTGCTTCTCCCTCTCCCACTCCCCCTGCTTGTGTTCCCTTTCTCACTGTCTCTCTCTCTGTCAAATAAATAAATAAAATCTTAAAAAAAAAAACAAAACTGAATACCATTCCATTGTATATAGGTGCCACATTTTGTTTACCATTCATCTTTTTTTTTAAAGATTTTATTTATTTATTTGACACAGAGAGAGCAGGAGAGCACAAGCAGGGGGAGCAGCAGAGGGAGAGGGAGAAGCAGAGCCCTGGGTTCATGACCTGAGCTGAAGGCAGTTGCTTAACCAACACAGCCACCCAGGTGACCTTTCATTCATCTATTAATGAATATTTGGGAAGTTTCACCTTTTTCGCTATTGTAAGTAATGCTGCTACGAACATCAGTATATAAATGCCGGTTTGAGTTCCTGCTTTCAAGTCTTTGGGGTATGTATGCAGAAGTAGGGTCGTTGGATCCTAAGGTAATTCTAAGCATAACTTTTGTTTTGAGGAACCACTAAATTTGTCCACAGCAGTTATACTATTTCACGTTTCTACCAGCGATACACAAGGGTTTCTCTATGTCCTCACCAACACTTGGTATTTTCTGTTTTTGTTTTTTTTTAAATAGGAACCCTAAAAAAATACATAATAATAGCCACCCTAATTTGTGTAGTATCTCACTGTGGTTTTGATTTGCATTTCCCTAATGACTAGGCTGTTGAGTACAGCTTTCTTTTTATTGAGATATAATTGACATACCATAAAAGTCACCCTTTTAAATACAATTGAGGATTTTTTTTTTTTTAAGTATATTCACAAAGTAGTGCAACCATCCACTATCTATCTGGAACATTTTCATCAAAAAGAAACAAGACTGAACTGTATACTTTAAAACGGGTAAAATGGTAAATTTTATGTTAGATATATTTTACCGCAATTAAAAAAAAAGGGGGGGGGTGCCTGGGTGGCTCAGTTGTTAAGCGTCTGCCTTCGGCTCAGGTCACGATCCCAGGGTCTTGGGGTCAAGCCCCCATCGGGCTCCCTGCTTGGTGGAGAGCCTGCTTCTCCCTCTCCCTCTGCTGTTCCCCCTGCTTGTGTTCTCTCTCTGTCAAATAAATAAATAAAATCTTAAAAAAAAAAAAAAGAAATCCACACTGATTAGCACTCACTCCCCATCACCCTCTCCCTATAGATCCTGGCAACCACTAATTTCCTTCACGTCTCTTTGTGTTTACTTTATGGATTTGCTTATTCTGGATATCTCATATAAATGGGGTCACATTTGGTATGTGGCTTTTTGTGTCTGGCTTATTTCACTTAGCATAATGCTTTTCAAGTTAGTCTATGTTATAGGATGTATTAGTACTCCCTTCTTTTTTAAGGCTAAATCGTATTCCATCATATGGATACGCACACTTGTTTATCCAGTCATCAGTTCATGGACATTTGGGTTGTTTTTCCTTTTTAGCTCTTAGGAATAATGCCACACATTCATGTACAACTTTTTCTGTGGACATATGTTTTCAGTTCTCTTGGTGTTCTCAACTCACCTAGGAGTGAAATTGCTGGATCATATGGTAGCTTTTTTTAAAAAAGGGCATGAATTTTAAGTGTACAGCCTGATGAATTTGTACAAAACGAATGAATCCGGCATCTGCCACCCAGATTAGGATCTAGAAAATGACCAGCATCCCAGTTGCCTATCTTGTGTCTTTCCCCATCACTACCCCCCAAAGGTAACCCCGGCCTCCCTTTACGTCTCCAGGACAGTTCTCCTGTTTCAGAACTTTATCATACGATAAGTATTTGTGTGTATCTGACTTCCTTCACTCAATATTATGTTTGTGTTGTACAATATAGCACAAGTTCTTTCCTTTCCATTGAATACCATACGAATAGTGGCACAACTATACCTTTATTTATCTATTATGGTATTAATAGACACTGGTGTTTCCAGTTCAGAGGTATAATAAACGAAGCTGCTATGGAACATTCTTTTTTTTTTTTTATATAGCTTTTTTTTTTTAAGATTTTATTTATTTATTTGACAGAGAGAGACACAGCGAGAGAGGGAACACAAGCAGGGGGAGTGGGAGAGGGAGAAGCAGGCTTACCGCGGAGCAGGGAGCCCGATGCGGGGCTCGATCCCAGGACCCTGGGATCATGACCTGAGCCGAAGGCAGATGCTTAACGACTGAGCCACCCAGGCGGCCCCATCATTAATTTTTGATATAATGTTCAATAATTCATTAGTTGATAAAGAACTCTTGAATATCTTTTTTTTTTTTAAAGATTTTTTATTTATTTATTTGACAGAGATAGAGAGCACAAGTAGGCAGAGAGGCAGCAGTGGGAGAGGGAGAAGCAGACTCTCCACTGAGCAGGGAGCCTGACGCGGGGCTCGATCCCAGGACCCTGGGATCATGACCTGAGTCAAAGGCAGACGCTTAACCAACTGAGCCACCCAGGCGCCCCTGAATATCTCTTCTGTAAGTATAGTTGAAAAGATGTTCAAATTGTAATATTTTTTTTAATTTATTTTATTTTTTTAAAAGATTTTTTATTTATTTATTTGAGAGAGAGAGAATGAGAGAGAGCACATGAGAGGCGGGAGGGTCAGAGGCAGAAGCAGACTCCCCGCTGAGTAGGGAGCCCGATGCGGGACTCGATCCCGGGACTCCAGGATCATGACCTGAGCCGAAGGCAGTCGCCCAACCAACTGAGCCACCCAGGCGCCCCAAATTGTAATATTTTATTATGACGATTATTATTTAAGTAAACTTTACCCCCAGTGTGGGGCTTGAACTCATGAGATTGAGTTTAAGAGTTGCACGCTTCACTGACTCAGCCAGCCGGGCACCCCCAAATTGTAATTTTTTTTCAAATATTTATTTATTTGAGAGAGAGAAAAAGCACGCAAGCGTGAGGGGGAGAGGGAGAAGTAGGCTCCCCGTGAGCAGGAAGCCCCATGTGGGGCTCGATCCCAGGACTCTGGGATCATGACCTGAGCAGAAGGCAGACGCTTGACGACTGAGCCATCCAGGCACCCCGGAAC